TGAGGTGAAGGTTTTGTTTCAGACTTTTGCATATCATTTTCCAGTTCTGCCAGCACCATCTGTTGAAGAGACTATCCCTTCCCCATGGGACATATTTTGGTGTTTTGTCGAAGATCAATTGGCTGTATGTAGATGTTGTATACTTTTGACTATATTTATTTAATCTGATGCTTAGCACTTAGAAGGTAAACTATATAAAGGACTCAGCATCAGAATTGGAGAAAGACTCATTAACAGCTTGCCATATGCAGATAATTCCTTGCTTGCTGAAACCTTCAGTATGGATTACACTTTAAAGAAAACAAAAAGTCTCACAACTGGACCAGTAAGCAACATTATGGCAAATGGAGAAACTGCTGAAATTGTCAAGGATTTCTTCTTACTTGGATCCGCAGTTAATGCCCATAGAAATGAAATGACATATTGCATTGGACAAATCTGCTGCAAAAGACTTCTTTAAATTGTAAAAAAAAAAAAAAAGATTTCACTTTGAGAATTAAGGTATGCCTGACCCAGCCATGAGATTTTCCATCACTTCATATGCATGCAAAAGCTAGACACTGAATAATGAACACCAAAGAAGAATTGATGTATTTGGTTTATGGTGTGAGTGAAGAATACTGATTATAGCATGGACTGCCAGAAGAATGAATTATATTGTGGAAGAAATAGAACTGAAATGTTCCTTAAATGTGAGGATGGTGGGACTTACTGTTATGTCCTTTGGACATGTTATCAAGAGGGGCCAGTCCCTGGAGAAGACATCTTACTTGATAGAGGACCAATGAAAAAGAGGATGACCCGCAACAAGATAGATTAACAGTGGTTGTAGCACTGGACTTTAAGATAATAATGGTGGTGAGATGTCCCAGGACTACACAGTGTTTTGTTGTATATTTGTTTGCTCCACTGGCTGTGCTAGAATCACATCCAGGTGACAGTCAGCATCACCTGCCAGCCAGGTGAGTAAGCGGTCTTGGATCTCTAGCTCAGTAGAGCTTTTATATTAATTGCAGATCCAGCTGACAGCTGACTGCAACATCACAGGAGACTGCAAACGATAATTACTCATCTGAGTCTAGTCAACCCGTGAGCTGTGAGAACTAATAAAATGTTGCTTAAGTCATGCTTGGTAGAGGGTCCGCAAAAAAGAGGAAGACCTCCAACAAGATGGATCAACAAAGTGGCTGCACCAATGGACTCGAACATAGCAATGGTTGTGCATATGGCATACTACTGGGCAGTGTTGTGCATGTGGTTAGCACCTAACAATAACAGCACGATAGTTCTATGTTTATGTTTTTGAGGTGCAGCCAAACTTTTTTCCACATCTTCAGATCTTTTTTCCATTTATCATGATGCTGTTTATTGGTCCAGTTGTGAGGATTTTTGTTTTATCTCCGTGGTGGTGTAATCTATACAGAGGCTGTAGCACCCTTTTCTCACTTACTCCTATGCAACTATTACTCACATTTCAGTGTAAATCACACCAAACCCATCGCAGTCCCGTCAATTCTGACTCAGAGCAACCCTGTTGGACAGAGGAGAACTGCCCCATAGGGTTGTCCAGTTTGTACATCTTTATGAAAGCAGACTGCCCCATTTTTCTCCCACGGAGAGGCTGGTGGGTTCACACTTCCAAGTTTTCAGTCATCAGCCAACCAGTTAACCACTGCATCACCAGGCCTTCTCACACTTTTAGTATAGAGCCTTCACTTCTTCTCTGTATGTTTATCTACACACCTGACCCTAGTATGATAGAGTGGGAAGAACTCGTTGTCTTAGAGGTAAGAGTCTTCTCTTGGCTCTGTCTCTAACTCATGGGACCTAGAGAAAATGATTTCAATGCTTAGTATACAAATAGCTAAGCTTGATCTTCTTACCTGAACAGTGCTATGAGACTCAAATGAAGCAATGTTAAAAAAAGAGAGAGAGAGACTTGTGTCTCTGGCATTTTAAAAAACTTTTATTGTGATTTGTATGCAAGTTTACAGAACAGGGAAATTGTTTTTCCATTCAATAATTTGTAGACATTTTGTCTTGTGACATAGATTACAATCCTCACAAGGTAGCAGCACTCTTCCCACCTCCTCCCTGTGTTCCCTGTTTCCATTCGCTCTTCGTTGCTCTTCCTTCCTGCCTTCTGAGCTTTATCCCTGGACAAACGCTGCCATTTTCATCTCACATGTTTGATTGTTCTCAGGAGAGCATTCCTCCCTTATAGGCCTGTCTGTCGTTTCGCTGAAAGTTGAGCCACAGGGTTGAGTTAAAGGGTTAAAAGGTGACTAAGAACCATACTCTCTGGAATTCCGTCAGTCTTTATCAGACCAGTAAACCTCATCTTTTAAAAATTAATTTGAGTTTTGTTCCACAGTTTTCTCCTACTCTACCCAGGAGTCCTGGTGTGGTGCTGTGGGCTAATGCGCCAGATTGCAAAGTTGTCTGAACTGCAAGGTCGGTGGTTCAAGCTCACCAGCTGCTCCTTAGAAACCCTATACAGGGTCACTAGGGGTTGGAATCGACTCAACAGCACATAACAACAACAACGACCCAGGACCTACTATTGACTTGGTTTTTCTTTTCTGTCTAGGTATGAGGAGGTAGTCTGACTTAAACTTAGAAAACATTTTATCATGGAAATTTTCAAATATGTACAGAAGTAGAGAGAATGCTTGCGTGGGTCAATATAAATATCAGATCCATTGATTTTTTTCTGTCATTTTAAATTCCGAAACCAACTGGCTACCCATCCAGAGCTAGATCAGAGGTCACAAATTAAAGGTCACAGCCTTTCAGACTGATCTCTGGCAATTAAAAAATGTGACATTTATTCTTTTTCAGCAGTGCAGTCTTAAAGTGAAAGTCTCTGTGTCAGAGCCATTACTGACCTCGGCCCAGATCTCCGGGAGCAATCTACTGAAGGTTACGTTGGAGGCTGCCTACTCTGTCCCTGAGTCCTTCATGCCCATCGGACCCCTGCAGAACTACATGGTTGGTCTGCAAGTTCCATCAATAGGGGAGGTAAAGTCCTGCTGCAGACAATTGTGTACTTCCAAACAGGGCCACACTCTTAGGGCCATCTCGTCCTCACTTCCTCCTCTGTCATTCAACTCATAGCTCTGAATGGCCGAGGTTTATTTTAGGCTTAAAAATAAAGTTTACTTGTATTTTTAAATAAGAGTTTTATCCTTATAATTTATATATTCATTGTATATAATACATTATAAGTTGCATATAAATTATATAATTAAGCATATATTTGTGATATTTAAATGTAAAACATAAAAAATGGTCATTTTTTGGGGTATGTTTCTACTCTGCTTATTTTTATGTATATATTCTATGGATTTTGTACAATGTACTTTATTATAAAACTTTTTCTCTTAAGCCCAGGTAATTTACTTAGGTCAAATTGTCTAGATATTGGGGATGAGGAGGGGGGCAACTTAGCGATTGCCCTTGAACACTCGAATTGGGGGTAACGATGCAACTTAGACATTGCCCAGAGACATTGTCTCTGACACCCTTGTATTGCAGTGTAGAGATCTGCCTAAATTCCAGAGGGATAAGGATCAGGATCAGCAAAAAGCTGCTTGCTATGAAGTGGAGGTTAGCCCTATCAGCTTTGTTACCACTTGAACACTTCCTGTTTCTGTGCAGTGGTAATTCACACAGAACTAACAGACCATACTCACAGCTGTGGAGTTTATTAGGTGAAGAACAGGCTTCAATTCAGCATCAACTTGGAGTAACAGGAACAACTCAGGATCAGCATAGGAAGTGCCTAAGTGAGGTTTGGAAGGCTCCTTGAAGGTAGAGAGCACATCCGTCCCTTCTTCAGTGAAGGACAGATTTTAACCAGTATAGCTTTCACAGCTGCTCTCTGCCACTAGAAGCTCATCCAGACAGACCCTTCTCAACCGTGCTGGCAGGCAGGCCACCCTCTCAGCTGTGCACACCCCTTCTCAGCCACGCAGGCCTTTCTGCCTTCAGCCTCCCTGCCATCAGCCTCTCTGCTAGCAACATAGTCAGCACAGCGACTTGCTCAGCGTCTCTTGTCTTAGCAGCAGCTTTCTGTTGTCAGGCCACCTTCTGGGCCTCTCACCACCAGCTGTAGCTGCAGGGCCCACTTCCAGGCTCTGCTAATGGGCCCCGTTCAGACTCACTTCAGTGCTGTAGTGTTGGCTCTGTACTATAGCTCTTTTAAGACATTCTCTTCTCAGGAATCCTACCTCCAACTATTCTGTTTCAGGCTTTTCTTGGTCTTGAGATTCTCATCTTGTTTTCTCTTCTAGCTCTGCTTCTAAAAACTTCTGTGGGGTTGGCTTCTTATATAAGCAAACTCCTTGTCAGTTTCAATGTCTGGTCCAGTAGGGTGCCTTTAATTTACTTGACATGGCTCTTCTATCGATAGTCCTTGTAACTCCTACCAAATGATTTGTTGGGATCATACAAATGGTTGTATAGGACTCGAACTTGGGTATTGGTTTGATTTGCCATTCCACTGGGTTTAAAATGAGTCATCTCTGAAACGGGACCATCACAACCATCAAGATTGAAGAGCCGGGAGTAAAGTGCATGTTTTGGACTCCATGATCCCTATGTTGAGAAGTGGTATTTGCAGAGGCAGCTGCCCAGCCCACAGGATGAGTAAAGCTGAGTGTCGTGGAGGCAGGAGGCTGGCTTGCAGAATGGGGTGCTCTTTGGGCATTTGTTGACAGTGCTAAAGGAGCTTTGCAACAATTGCCTGAGCAAGGTAGAAACCAAGGGCCTGAGTTGCTGAGAGGCTAGGACTAGAGAGGGCGTGCCTGCAGTACTGCTGAGAACAGGTTTTTCTGCTCAGAGAACTGCTGTTTCCTGAGTTGTTTCGCATCCTAAATTGTACTTTGTTAACTTGTTGGCAGGCCTTAAGTTAATTTTCAGAGTTCTGAAAAAGCTGCTCTTCACCATTTTGAAAATATTCTCATTGCTTTTATGGAAAGGTCTTTTCAAAGACCTTTACTTCCCCATTCCAAAAGTGCCCCTCCCTCACAAGTGTCTTTTAAAGGTTAACCCAAAGAACTAGAATTGTTGAGTTACAAGGTATGCAGATTTAAATTTTATTAAAAGATGCAAAATTACCTTCCATAGTTACACTTATTTATATTTCCAAGATACACTTAAGAATAACATTTTGTTTTATACTCTTGCCAGTACATGATTTTCAAACTTTAATTTTGTCAATATAATGGTTTCAACTTGTATGCCAGTTTGTTGTACTTTGGTGGCTTGTGTGTTGCTGTGATGCTGGAAGCTGTGCTTCTGGTATTTTAAATACTAGCAAGGTCACTCATGATGGGCAGGTTTTAGTTGACTTTCCAGACTAAAGGAAACTGGAAGAAAGAGAGGGAGTCCACCTCTGAATGGTTAGCCATTCTGAAAACCTGATGAATATCATGGAAAATTGTCTGATACAATGCCAGAAGATGAGGCACTCAAAATATGCCTGAGGAAGAGCTGCCTTTTCAAAGTAGAGTTGACTTTAACAACATGAATGAAGTGAAACTTAAGGAATCTTAATTTGCTGATGGGGCATAACTCAAAATGTGAGGGAATAGTGGTAAACATCCATTAATTACCAGAACATGAAATGTACAAAGTATGAATCTGGGAAAGTTGGAAGTTGTCAAGTATGAAATGAAATGTATAAAGATCAATATCCCAGGCATTCTTGAGCTCAAATAGATAGGTACTGGACATTTTGAATCAGATTATCATATGGTTTATTATGCTGGAAATATTAAAAAAGAGCATTTCAAGATATATTTTGAAGTACATTTGCTACCTGTGATAAGACTAGTTAATACCATTATTATTCCAATTTACTCACCAATCACTAAGGCCAATGATGATAAAATTGAAGAATTCTGCCAACTACTTCAGTTTGAAATTGATCAAACATGCAACCAAAATGCATTGATAATTAATGTTGCTTGGAATACAAAAGTTAGAAATAAATTGAGAGGATTAGTAGTTGGGAAAGATGGTCTTGGTGATAGAAATTATTCTGGAGATGGCATTAAAGAACTTTGCAAGACCAATAGTTTACTCATTGCAAATACCTTTTTGTCACAACATAAAACGCAGCTGTACACTTGGACCTCACCAGATGGAAAACATAGGAATCAAATTGACTACATCTGTGGGAAAAGATGATGAAGAAGCTCAATATCATCATCCAAAACAAGGCCAGGGGCAGACTGTAGAACAGACCATCGTTTGTTCATATGCAAGTTCAAGCTGAAGATGAAGAAACCTAAAACAAGTCCACGAGAGCCAAAATCTGACCTTGAATATATCTCTCCTGAATTTCAAGACCATCTCAAGTAGGATTTGATGTATTAGACACTAATGAAAAAGATCTGAAAAGTTGTGGAATGACATCAAGAACATCACACAAAGGGTCATTAAAAAGCCAGGAAAGAAAGAAAATACAAAACGTAGATGTCAGAAGAGACTCGGAAACTTGCTCTTGAGCATAGAGCAGATAAAGCAATTGGAAGACATGAGGAAGTAAAAGAACTGATCAGAAAATTCCAAAGGGCAATTTGAGAAGACAAAGTCAAGTATTACATTGAAATGAGCAAAGACCTGGACTTAGAAAACCAAAAGGAAGAGCATGCTCAGCATTTCTCAAACTGAAAGAACTGAAGGAAAAATTCAAGCCTTGGCGTGCAATATTGAAGGATTCTATGGGCAAAATATTGAACGATACAGAAAGCATCAAAAGAAGATAGAAGGAATAAACAGAATCACTGTGTCAAAAGAATTGGTTGATATTCAACATAATTTTGTTTCACATAATTTTCTATGCTGAGTTCATTTTGTTTGTGAGTTTTCTTTTCATTTTCATTTCTGTTACATTAATATTTATTCAATCTTGCTGATTTTCTTTTATATATATATATATTGATGTGCAGGTGTATTGTTTTTCTTTTATGTTACCCTGTAATTTATTAATTTTTTCCCTGCTTAAAACAGTCTGTTTTATCTTGAAATCTATTTGGCTTCCTTTCCATTTGGAAGTTCTGTATCTACACCATTCCTTTTTTTTTTTTGCTTTGTAGTTGACTTCATTATACATTGGTATCTCTGGTTCCCTATTTTCAGTCTTGCGTTGTTTTACTTTAAATATTTCTATATCTGGATTGCGTTCTGGATGATGATGTCATGAACAGTAATCTCAGGTTGTTGTCTGCTGTTGATGGTTCTGAGTCCAAAGAACACCTTTTAGCATTTTTTTGCAAATTTGGTCTGGTCATTACAAATTCCTTTAATTTATGTTTATCAGAAACTGTCCTAATTCCACCATCGTATTTGAGGGACAGCTTTGCTGGGTATATGAGTCTTGGTTGATAATCCTTTTCTCTTAGAGTTCCATTGTCTTCTTGACTGTGTGGTTTCTGCTGAGAAATATGAGCTTAGTTTTCTTGGTTCTCCATTGTAGGTAACGTTTCATTTTTCTTGAGCTGCTCTCAGGATTCTTTCCTTGTCTTTGATTTTTGAAAGTTTGATTATGAAATGTCTTGGTTTTCTTGTAGGATCTATCCTGTTTGGGGTTTGTTCAGCTTCTTGTATGGCTATCTTCTCATCTTTTATAACATTAAGGAACTTTTCTTCCAACAGCTCTTTAATAGATTCTCTGTGCTATTTATTGTGTCTTCCTGTTCTAGAATTCCAGTCACCTGTAAGTTGTTCCTTTTCATGGTGTCCCACATAATTCTTAGATTTTCTTTGGATATCTTCAAGCATATTAATATTGAGAGGTTTCTCTTCAAGCTCAGTAATTCAGGCTTCCATTGCTTTGCATCTACTCCTTTGCCCTTTCAATGAGATTTTACAATTAATCTTCTGGATTTCTAATTGCAGGTTTTGTATTGTTTCAAAATTTGCATTTATTTTGTTTGTTCTTGTAGTGTTTTCTTAAGTTCTTCTAAAGTTTTTATTGTGTTCTCCTCACTTTCCTCCACCTTTTTAATAAG